TCTACAGCCCTGAGAGCTGGGATTTGAACTGGCTGCATAGACTAAGAAGGTTGAAGACTGAGTATGGGTTTTCTTACAGTTTAACCAGGAGCCACTATGGCTGTAGACTAAACTCTCGAGTGTGCGCAGATTTGGCTGGTGTGCGTGGGGCAAGTGGAGCAGAGGATGGGGCCCCTTTGTTTTTTGTCTTTTCACATGGACTCCTCTGGGGAGTTAAGCCTGGCAGATAGTAAGAGATCCAGTGAAGATCCCCAAATTCTAGAAGGGATGAAAAGGGGTGTGGCCAGGCCCCGGGTGAGAGGGGGAGGGATTGCTGAGCAACAGTGACAGCCAGGTCACCTTTGACCCCAGTCAGAGGTGGCCTGCAGGTCAGTCCAAATACGAGGAGGCGGGGCACATCACTTCCTGCCTGTTGCTGTTGCCCACAGTGAGAGCATGGGCTTGGAAGGCAGGCTGACCACCAGAAAAGCCCAGCTCCACCCCTCCGTGCGTATGTTCTCTAGTCAAGTGCTAATTTCCCTGAACTTCAGCATCTTGACCGACCTAAGCTGAGCATGGTAGCTCACACCTGTAGTCTTGGCTACTCAAGAGGCAGGGAAGGCAAGAGAATTGCAGGAAGCTAGAAGTTCGGGGCCAGCCTATACCTCCTAACAAGACCCAGTCCCAATCTCTAACAAAACAGGAAATTAGCCAGTTGCCAGTGGCTCACACCTGTAATCCTAGCTACTCAGGAGGCTGAGATCTGAAGATCACACTACAAAGCCAGGCTGGGCAGAAAAGTCTGTGAGACTCTGATCTCCAAAAAGAACCACTAGAAAACCGGAAATGGTGCTGTGGCTCAAGAGGTAGAGCGCTCACCTTGAGCTGAAGAGCACAGGGACAGCACCCAGGCCCAGAGTTCAAGCCCCATGACTGACAAAAAAGGAAAATAATCTCTACCTCTTATGACCAGCATAATGTTACAATGAAATCTACCCTGGGATTTTTCTCCAGAACCAATAAATATGCAAATAATAATAATAGCAAAACAAAAAGGAGACATCTGAGGTCTCTTGAACCTTCAAAGTCTACAATTCTAGGCATTCTTCCAGCCTCACCAAGAACCCCACCCCCTCCTCATCTAACCCCCAGTCTCCTGCTGCTGCTGGTAGCCTCACTTTGAGGGGCTTAATTTTCTTTTCTGTGCCGGGATTATAGGCATGTACCACCACACTTAGCACTTTAAAAAAAATTTTTTGTGTGTGCCAGTCCTAAGGCTTGAACTCAAGGCCTGGTGCTGTCCCTGAGCGTTTTTTGCTCAAGGCTAGTGCTCTATCTCTAGAGCCACAGCTCCATTTCCAGCTTTTTGGTATCTCACTACTTTCCTAGCCAGCCTGGCTTTGAACCTCAGTCCTCAGAGCTCAGCCTGCTGAGTAGTTAGGGCCTACAAGTATGAGCCGCCGTGCCAGATTTAAAATCATTTTTTAAAGATTAGCATATATTTGTTGTACAAGGGGAATTGATTGGCTGGGAAGGTGGCTCAGTGGTAGAGCACTTGCCTTGCATGCATGAGGCCCTGGGTTCCATTCCTCAGCACCACATAAGCAAAAAGAAAAAAGCCGAAAGTGGAGCTGTGGCTCAAGTGGTAGAGCACCAGCCTTGAGCTGAAGAGCTGAGGGACAGCACCCAGGCCCAGAGTTCGGGCCCCACAACCCGACCCCCCCTCAAACAAGGGGAATTGATCATGACATTTCCATGCAGATACACAAGGGATCCTCAGCAACTTCACCCCCTTTTCACGCCCCCCCTCCTGCCCCTCCCCTTTCCCTACACGATCTCCACTGGGCTCATTTTTCTGTTTTCATAGATGCAAGCAAGCCATTTCAGCCATCTTGATGCTCATTCACTCTCCCTGTCAGCTGAACTCCCCCTGGCACCGACTCCCTAACAGAGCCTATTTCTGCCTCATTGCATTTCCCAAACCACCCATTTTATAGATGAGGAGGGTTCGCTGCGTAGCCACGCTCTGTGGACCACGTTTCATTTGCATAAAAGTCTATGAGTCAGCTGTCCCAGCTACAGACCAGGAGCCTGAGGAGAGAGCGCCCACCAGCACCGTACATCTTTATCTGGTTGCACTTGGTTCTCAGAGCCTGAGACCTTAGCCCTGCGGGGCTAGATCTAGAAAAATCTAGCTAGATCTGGAAATATCCAGGCCTCTTGAGTCCTCTCTCACTCTTTGGTGGTACTAGGGTTTAAATCAAGGCCTCGGACTTGCAAGGAAGGCACTCTCCCAATTGAGCCATTATGCCGATCTTTTTTGCACTGGCTGCTTTCATTTTGCTCTAAGACTGGAACTTGAACTTGGTATCTGATGCTTTATGCTCATTGGCAGGGGCTCTACCTCCTGAGCCAAACCTCCAACTGCTGGTTATGTTTGAAATAGGGTCTCACTTGATGTCTGGGCTGGCCTGGCTGGTGATCCTCTGATTAGTGAGTTCCTTGGCTGGAATGACAGGCATATACCACTGAGCTGAGCCAATGGGTGAGATGGAATCTTTTTCTTTCTTTTTTTTTTTTGCCAGTCCTGGGGCTTGAACTCAGGGTTTGGGCACTGTCCCTGAGCTTCTTTTGCTCAAGGCTTGCACGCTACCACTTGAGCCACAGCACCACTTCTGGCTTTTTCTATGTATGTGGTCCTGAGGAATGGAACCTAGGGCTTTATGCATGCTAGGCAAGCACTCTACCACTAAGCTGCATTCCCAGCCCCTAAGATGGAATCTTGCAAACTTTTTGCCCATGGCTGACCTCAAAGCATGATCCCTGATCTCTACCTACCAAGTAGCTAGGATTATGGGCTTGATCCACTGTACCTGGTTTTTGGTTTTGGTTTTTGTCAGTCACGGGGCTTGAACTCTGGGCCTGGGTGCTGTCCCATAGCTTTATTGCCCAAGCTGGTGCTCTACGACTTGAGCCACAGCTCCACTTCCAGCTTTCTGCTGGCTAGTTAGAAATACAAGTCTCACTGACTTTCCTGCTTAGGTTGGCGTTGAACCTTGATCTTCAGATCTCAGCCTTTTGAGTAGCTAGGATGACAAGCAGGAGCCGTCAGCGTCCAGCCTCTACCTAATCGTTTAAGTGGACATTGAAGTAGCATGTGCTCGCTCAGCATTATGCAATCAGCCTCCGGAGATCCCGGCTCATAAAATTAAGAATCTACAGCTATTAAACAGGCATCTGCGGCAGCTGGCAAGCCCCTACGACCTTGTACCTCTCCAACTGTGACGCTCCGAGGTTGATGCTGTCTTGAATTATAAAATCCTGTCTCTGTTTTGCCTTGGAGACATCTGTACTCAGTGTCCTCAGCATGGATGTGAGGCCAAGCCAGGGCCACGCAAGAGGCGGGAGGACAGTGACTTCCAGACCGGCCTGGGCTACACAGCAAGGCCTTATCTCAAACAACGGGGGGGGGGGAGGTGAGAGAGACAGAGACAGAGAGCACTCTACCACTTACACCACAGCACCACTTCCAGGTTTTTTGGGGTTTTTTGTTTTGAATGGTTCATTGGAGATAAGAGTCTCATGGGGACTTTTCTGCCTGGGCTGGCTTCGAACTGCCATCCTCATATCTCAGCCTCTTGAGTAGCCAGGATGACAGGAATGAGCCACTGGCGCCTGGCCCCAATCTCTTTGCCAAACTCCTCTAGTTTACCTTGAACTGGTTGAGAAGTATTTAGAGAAAGAAGGGTTCAAGGGAGAAAAGACAGTCGGTTCAGTTCCAGAGGAATCCACTAAACTCCAGGAGTCAACTATGAATAAGAGATTTCAAGATTAAACTTTGTATATTTTTGGCTATTCTCTGCCAGTGCTAAAAGAAAAACAGCCAGGTGCCGGTGGCTCACACCTGTAATCCTAGCTACTCAGGAGGCTGAGATTGAGGATCTCGGTTCAAAGCCAGCCTAGGCAGAAAAGTCTGTGTGAGATTTATCTCCAGTGAACTACCAGAAAACTGAAAGTGATGATGTGGCTCAAGTGATAGAGCACTAGTCTTGAGTGGAAGAGCTCAGGGACAGCGCCCAGGCCCAGAGTTCAAGCCCCATGACAAAGAAAGAAAAAAGAGAGAGAGAGAGAGAAAGAAAGCAAGAAAGAAAGAAAGAGAGAAAGAAAGCAAGAAAGAGAGAGAGAGAGAGGCGCTAGGAAGGTGGCTCAGTGGTAGAGTGCTTGCCTGCATTCCGAGGCCCTGGGTTCGATTCCTCAGTACCACATAAGCAAAAAGAAAAAAGCTGGAAGTGGTGCTGTGGCTCAAGTGGTAGAGCGCTAGCCTTGAGCTGAAGAGCTGAGGGACAGCGCCCAGGCCCAGAGTTCAGGCCCCACGACCGGACCCCCCCCCCAAAAAAAGCACTCAAACAAATTAACTTACTGTGAAGTGTATTTTGATAGAGAGCCTTTCCTTTATAAATACACTGCGTTAACAAAAAAAAAAAAAAAGAAAGAGAGAGAGAAAGAAAAGAAAGAAAGAAGTCCATTTCAGAAGATAAAATATTCATGTGCAGAGAGGGACAGAGAGATGGAGACAGAGAAACAGACCCAGAGACAGAGATGAGCACCATGGGTCACACCTGTAAGTCCTAGCTACTAAGGAGGCTGAGATTTGAGGACAAATCTCTGGAACTCTTATCTCCAATTAACCACAAAAAAAATAAAAAAATAAACATAAAAAACCTGGAAATGGAGCTGTAGTTCACGTGAGAGACTGTCAGCCTTGAGCCACAAAGCTCAGGGACAGCATCCTGGCCCTGTGTTCAAGTCCTAGAACAGGTACTGAGAGAGACAGAGACAGAGACAGGGAGAGAGAGAGAGATGAGAGGGCCCCTTGGCCTGTGCTCCCCGCCCCAGAAGGTGGGGAGGGTGACTCAGGATGCTTGACCCCGTAACCTGCCCTTTGGTTTATGATGGCCACCTCAGTCAGCACCAACCTTTGGCCCCAGGAGCTCCTTCATCAGGTGGGTAGAGGCCCTGGGCCTCCGCAGAGGGCTAGCAGCTTGCCCAAGACAGCAGCTTCTGGAGGCATGGGAACTGGCCCGCGCAGTCAGTCCCTACGAGGACCCCGGCCCTCCTATGGGAAGCTGCAGGAGCCCTGGAGGACACCCCGACTCCGCCGGGCACTGAGCCTCAGACAGGCCCACGAGAAGTCCAAGTCCAAAGGTCTGGATGGTGGCATGGAAGGGCTAGACACCCCTACTTCTGAACGGCTGTCGGGGACCCTGGAGGACACAGAGCAGCTGATCCAAGCCCAGCAAGGAGGCAGCCGGCGGTGGCTGAGGCAGTACGGACAGGTATGGCTGAGGGCTGAGCTTAGGGTGGTCCAGAGGTAGACACATATAGTCCAGGATCAGGAAAACAAGGCAGCTGTCTGGAGGAGGCTAGAGGCCACCCCTGGGGTATATTTCAGATTTACTCTATATCACTGGGAGTCATTTAAAGTTTCAGAGGAGAGCAAGTGGGAAAGGAAGTACTAGTCAGAGCTGGATTTGATGGCTTTTGTGGGGGTTTTGGGGGAGGGGAGAGAGGGTTGTTGCTGGTGGTGGTGGTGGTGGTGGTGGTGGGTGGTGTGTGTGTGTGTGTGTGTGGGTGTGTGTGTGTGTGTGTGGTGTATGCCACTACTGGGTACCAGGGCTTGAACTTAGGGCCTCATGCACTTGCTTGGCTTTTTTGTTTGTTTGTTTGTTTAACTGATGGCTGGCATCTACCACTTGAGCCATATCTCAACCTCTGGCTTTTTGGTGGTTAACTGGAGATAAGAGTTTCACAGACTGTTTCTGTCCAGGCTGCCTTGGAATCTCAATCTGCAGATCTCAGCCACCTGAATAGCTAGGATTACAGGTGTGAGCCACCAGATGCCTGTCTGGGTCTTTTATTTTTTCCCCAGTCCTGGGCCTTGAACTTATTTTTTTTAGGTAAGATCTTGTTAGGCAGTCTAGGCTGGCCTTGAACTTATGATCAACCTGTCTCTACCTCCAGAGAGAGAGAGGGGTCACAGGTACATGTCACCACACCCAGATTCCAGAGCTGTTTTCCATGATCAATGTACAAAATGTTCAATGGGTGAATGAACAGGGCAGGAGGCAAGGAGATTAACCAGCCCAACTTCTCACAAGTTACATTTTGACATCCCCACACAAAAGAAGGGAGAAAACCTAGCGTTCCTCCCCCTTCCCTCCCCCCTCTCCTCCCCTCCCCCCTTGATCTTTGTTTGCATGGGTTCTAGGCTCTGCCTCCTCCAGCTCCCAGGGTCCCCCGGGAGCAGCCTTTTCTCTGGACTCTACCCCCACCTGGTGGCTGTGAGTGGAATAGCACCTGAAGCCCACCACTCAACCAGCATCTCCTCCATCTTGGTCTTCCAGCAGGTGAAGAGAAGGTGGGACAGCTTCCTCGCCAGTTTCCCCAGTGTGACCTTGAGTCGGCCAGCCTCCGAAGAATCCCCCACTGAGAACCACCAGCTAGAGATGTAGGAAGCCCCCCGGGAATGCCTGTCAGCTGATCCTCTGCACCTCTGCCTTCCTGGAGGAGGCCTCTGGGTTCAACTCACTAGATCTCATGTGGGGTTGCCCCCCGAGGGCCGGCCCTGCTGCCCTAATATCTTGGCATCAAGCCGCACAGGACAGAGCTCTCTGCCCACTGAGTTCGGGAGCCCTTGGACGATAACACATATGAAGATTTTGGAAGTGGTTCTCCCCCACAAGATTGGGGACGTCAGTGCCCTTGGCCCCCCACAAAACCAGGCATTCACTTCCGGGACAGAGTTCAGTGAAGCCAACCCATGGCTGAGAGGCTCTGGGACATCACCTGGTCACAGCGCCAAGCTCCACCTGCCCTTCTGGTCACCTGCTTGTGATGAGCCAGAATATGGCGGGTCTAACTTACAGATGGCGAGCCCTGGAGGGCAAGGACCCCCTCTGGTCAGTCCTCTGTGCTGAGAGGCTCAGGCCTAAATGTTTCTGCCTTTGGGCCTCATAGTATCCCAATGAGAGAATTAGGGGAGCCTCCCATCCCCATTCAAGAGGGAGAAACAGAGGCCCAACGTGGATAAAGGGGGAAACTGAGGCCAAGAAAGGGAAGGGATTTATTGTTCATGATATCTCTAGCCCAACCCCAACCCCCACCCCATGGCACCCAAGACGGGGGCTGAACACAAGTAATAAAGGTGCTGAGCTGAAGTAAACAATTTGCCTCCTGACTAACTTGCAAGCTCAGCTGTTCCCGATAACAGTCTAGGCTGGGCCAGAGCACAAGCAGAGCTCATGCTGAGGCTCAGAGAGGGCAAGGGGCTCTCTCAGGGCCACACAGAGAAACTGGATCTGACCTGAAGAGCCTGAGTTCTTTGAGAGGTACAAGCACTTCTTGTGGGCCTTCTAGAGCAGGCCCAAGGTCAAGGCAAGCCAGGCATCCTGACACAAGGATGACCCAGCAACAGAATGGTGGGCTTCCTGGTCCCCTACAGCTCAGAATCCTAGCAGGGCCACTCAGGTACAAGAAGGATCTTGGGAAATTTTTATCCCAGACAGTCACTAGAGCCTGGCCTGGAAAGCAGATGGTATGATTTGAACACAAGCTCATTAGTTTCAAACTTCAGATTGCTTCTTAGCAGCCCCCCCCCTTTTTTTTTTCTTTTTGTCAGTGGTGGGGCTTGAACTCTGGGACTGGGTACTGTCCCTAAGCTCTTCACCTCAAGACTAGCGCTCTACCATTTGAACCACAGCACCATTTCTGGTTTTCTGGCGGTTTTTATTGGAGATAAGAGTCTCACGGACTTTCCTGCCCAGGCTGGCTTTGAACTGTGATCCTCAGATCTCAGCCTCTTGAGTAGCTAGGATTACAGGGATGAGCCACTGGCGCCCCGCTTCTTAGCCCCCTTCTACTTTAGCAACCAGAGTGTGTCAAGGAACCCCAGGACATCAGAAAGCTGTTAGGCTGCACAACTCTGACCAGGCCTCTCAGTGTCTGGGAGGAGGAAGCCGAGACTAGAACTGGACAGGACTTCTCAGCCTGCCGTTCTCCTTTTAGCCTGAGATTTGTCTAGTGATAAACTTCTTCCTTCATCCAGATCAAAGTGTCACAGAGAGCCATGCTGGTGGCTCATGTCTGTAACCCTAGCTACTCAGGAGGCTGAGACCTGAGGATCAAGGTTCAAAGCTAGCCTGGACCGGAGAATCTGTAGCACTCTTATCTCAACCACCGAAAAGCCATAAGTAGAGCTGTGGCTCAAGTGGTAGAGTGGCAGGCTTGAGCAAAAGAGCTAAAGGACAACACCCAGGCTCTGAGTTCAAGCCCCAGTACTGGTACAAAAAATTCTACAGGAAGCCAGGTGCCAGTGGCTCACGCCTGTAATCCTAGCTACTCAGGAGGCTGAGATCTGAGGATCGTGGTTCAAAGCCAGCCCAGGCAGGAAAGTCTGTGAGACTTATCTCCAGTTAACCCACCAAAAATCCAAAAGTGGTGCTATGGCTCAAGTGGTAGACTGCTTGCCTTGAGCTGAAGAGTTCAGGGACAGCACCCAGACCCACTACCAACAACAACAACAAAACTTCTACAGGGCCCTGGCCTGTTCACTGAAGGTCAGTGCCTGGATGTAGGCCTGATATTTAGTGGGTGCTCCATAAATAACTGAGTCAATTAAGGTCCTGCTCGAGGTCACCCAGTGAGTTGACAGCCTGATCTGCTGTGGACCTGGGGGTGTATCTCCTGCCTCAGCGTATCATCAACTTGACTTCTGGGGTCCTTGACAGAGACTGCCCCCATACCTCACTCAGCTGGGTCATTTCCAAAACTGGCCATGGTGTCCCTCCCATTATGGGTACCTTTGGCCATGGTGTCCCTCCCATTATGGGTACCTTTGGCCATGGTGTCCCTCCCATTATGGGTA